ACACACACCACACACCACACACACAACACACACACACACACACACACACACACACACACACACACACACACACACACACACACACACACACACACACACACACACACACACACACACACACACACACACTGGCTCACACGATACTTCCAACGTGTGCCTTGCACATGGCTTTGGCCGAGGACGCGCCCGAGGGGCCGAGTGGGGCAGCGAGTCAGGGGGCCTCTCCGGCGGAGGCGAGGAAAGGAGGCACAGCGGGCTCGCGGGGCACACGGCCGTCGGGCCAGCGCAGGGGAGCGCCGCACCAGCATCGCGAGGGGGGCCCTCCCGGCCACGGCGGGCCGCGGCAACCGGGACGTCTTCGAGATCTCACACCGGTGCTCTGGCTGCAGCGCTGGCCTCACTTCTGGGTCGGCGCGTTGCTCCCCGTCGTTCCGAACGGCGCCCTCGCCCCGGCGCGGGCCACGCTCTTCTGGATCCGGAGGCCTCCTCGTCGTTGTCACCCCCCTTCCTTTCCTCTCCCCCGCCTTCCCCTGCTCCTCCTGCTCCCTGCGCTCCTTCTGCTACTGCTGCTGCAGCTCCTCCTCGTCCTCCTCCCTCCTCCTCCTCCTCCTCTCTCCTCCTCCTCCTCCTCCTCCTCTCCTCCCCCTCCTCCTCCTCCTCCTCCTCCTCCTCCTCCCCCTGCTCATCAGGCACACTTTCCTCCAGTGCACGCAGCTTCAACTGTCAACATTTCGCAAACCAAGATCTGGAGTTCAGTGGGGAGATCGAGGTCCACTAGGGCACCCATCGGCGGATAGAGAAGACTTCTGCGGAATGGAAAAGGAAGGCTGGGAGAGATAGGATGCCAGATTTGGCGCGTGTTCCCCCCACTGTATTTCACAAAGGCTGGTGGAACACATAGTAAGATAGTTTGGCAGGCATTGGCCCAACGTCTTGCCACGTAGGCGATTCCACACGGGGAACGTGCGGCATTGGTTCGGCGTGTGCGTTTCGGTACAACTTGTCCTAGTTAGGCGACCCGTAAGAACATAACATAATAGTCCAAGTGAGTAGAGTTATGGTAGTCAAGCTGAGTCGACAAACGCAGCACCAACATCGACGCGAATGCAATCGCAACTCGGACGCCCCACGTCTCCTTACCATCCAGCTGAGTGCCTCATAGGTGTATGCGCACTATCAAACAAGGACTATTATGTAGTATGTGTATGTATAAATCGATACATCGGTGTCAACATACATACACGATTACATCTGGATGCGTAGGTGTAGGTGTATGTGTACATGTGTATGCATGTCTATAACGGATACAACGCAAGTGCGATGAGCAGGGGCAGCCGCCAGGCACATGTCGTGCTAGACCCCCTCCCACCGAGCAAGGCCGTGAGTTGATATCTATGGTTCAGCACCATACCCTGCGATTCACAGCACAGGCAGCTGATCAATGGGGTAACGAGACAGTCACACCAATCACAGTGGACGGCAAGACTGGACAAACGTTCATGGCAACACGATGGAGTAGCCCCGCGGCATCCCATGTGGTGCGTGAGTGAAGCACAGAGAGCCAGATGACGAAGCGAGCCGATGGCAATTCCTGGGGGATAACGTTGCACGAGGAGGGCGGAATAGACGAAGGAGAGCAGCGATAGATCAGGGGGGAGCCAGGAGACCCGACGCCGCAAGTCTGTTCGGGAATGGGGAATGGGCCGTCGGACCTCTCGACACCGTCCGCGCGGAAGATGCTCCTCCGCTGCAGATCGTTCGGTGCGTCCTATGGGTGCAGATGGTTTGGAGTACGAGCTCGTCCAAGGCATCCTTCGTCCCCTAGGGGGCGATTTCCTCCCCCCTCTGGGGTGCCCCCCCTCCTTCCCCTTCCCCCCCAAACCTCCCCCCCGTTCAGCGCAACCCGCTCCCCTGCAGGCACACCACCGTCGGCGTTGGAGATCCCACGCGCAAGGATGCAACCGGCACCTGTCGCTTGGCCGACACTTCAGGGGGGACACAGCACGCCTCACCGACAATTTTAGCACCGAGCGCTGAATCACTTACTGCATGCATTGATGGACTGCGGGCCATTACTCTGACGAGACGATATGTTTTCTAGCGGCTATTGCTTCTGTGTAACTCACTCTGGCAGTCCCAGCGCCGCCTGGACTGCCAACAAGTCTGACGAGCAAAGTGCACTGTACCCCGACTGGCAAGCGTGCACGGCAGACACAGACTGCTACACTCCCCGTGAGTAAGGGTGGCACGAGGGCGGGTGATGAAGAAAAAGCGAGGCTTGAGCACAAACGGTTGCGCGTACAGCGCTGCAAGAGAACTGGCAAGCTGAGACGGTATCCGTTTAGGTGGACATGGAGGGGTAATCAGGGCCCGACACTCGAAAAAACCTCAGCACGTCATTATCGTGCTACGCACACCCATGACGAGACGATATGTTTTCTAGCGGCTATTGCTTCTGTGTAACTCACTCTGGCGGTCCCAGCGCCGCCTGGACTGCCAACAAGTCTGACGAGCAAAGTGCACTGTACCCCGACTGGCAAGCGTGCACGGCAGACACAGACTGCTACACTCCCCGATTCTGTCCCAAAGCTGGCGTGGGCCAGTTCACACATTAAGATAGAGGGACCTTATGGGGGCTAAAAGGGCAGCCGCGAGCGAGCGAGCGAAAGCGACGGGCATTTCAAAAATTTTTAAACACAGAGGGCCTGGGTGCCTTCTGGTTAGAGGTCGCTGGATCCGCAGCCCGTCAAGATCGCGAGATGAGATTCCTGCACACAGAATTACCCACGGGAGACGGTGACGACTACCGAAGGCACTGAGCGTGTTATCTACTCGAGTGGTAGCGCAGGCAGCGAGCTTGTGCAGGAGTGGCCTCAGCACGGCTGAGGTGTCATAATGCAAGATCAGGCAAGGAACAAAAGATCTGGCGGCCGCTCGCATGACTCGTTGGACGTGCGACGTGTGACGAGGGTTGAAACCCGACTCAACCAAGACGCCTAGGAGACGCTCACGCTGTAGATCCCCCACTAAGGATCTGGCGAGCAAAGCGTCGGGACGCTCGTCGTACAAGCATCTGACTTTAAAACCTGACGCTCGAAGCGGCCGGCCTATCTCCCGACAGTGTGGTCCCCAGACGCATATCCAGCGTGACACGACGCCGCGGCTTACGGGAAAACGGGCACGGCCTGCCCGTCCAAAAGCACTCCCACGAGCCGAGCCTCGCACTGCTTCGCGTGTGCCTTGAAACTCTCGCTCAGCCTCTCCCAGGTCTTGCTCAACAACGCGTGCTTCTCGTACCGCTGAAGGCTCTTGTCTGTCTTCCACCCGCCGCGACGCTTGATGGCTGCCATGTCTCGTAGCCCGTGGAGGCGGTCGTGGGAGGCTCCTGAGTGCCGAGCCTGGTATGGTACCACATCGATCTTGAGACGGTTTGTCACGGCCTTGAACGAGCGGGCCAGCTCGGGGTAACTGAAACGCCAGAGACACTCCCCCGCCGTCCGCGACTTGAGGGCCTCCAGCAGTGGGTGGAGCGACTTCCAGAAAGAGTGGTCCAGCATGCAGCTCTGGTCGAACTCGTTCACCTTGTTGGCCACTCCCCCCTCGTACGGGTTCAGCGTTACTCCCCACAGGCCCGTCACGGAGTTCGGGGCTATGAGGTCGTCGGGACGCATGGCCAGCAAGCTCCCAGGCCTGCAGTACGTGCTCCACATCACGAGCACCGCCAGACCCATCTCGAGCTTGCCGTCCTGAACCAGCCCGTTGATGATGGCTGCCCAGACTGCGAAAGCCTGAGGCACGCGAGCCCGAGGCGGAACCACGTTCACCCAGCCCTTGAGCGCCCGCCAGCTGCGAGGCAGGCCCTGGCGCCCGACCTTGCCGAACTGCGGCATCACGTGCATCGCCGAGGCAATGACCTTCATTCCTTTGGACGGGGCCTCCCCCTTCAGCCACAGCTCCTCGAAGTACATCACCAGCAGCTCGTCCAAGCGACTGGTGTCCACATCCTGAATCCGGTCCACCTCGGCCCACTCCGCGAACGATGTGAGCTCTTTCACGTACGACCTCTCGGTGCGGGCCCTCACGGCGCGCTGCTCCAGCACGCTGAGCCCGTGCAGCTGCTTGTCCCTCTCCATTACCTCCTGCAGCCACCTCTCCAGACGTCGCTTGCCGCGACGCTCGAGTCGGCGGGCCCGATCGGCGCGCTCGTCCTGCGCGTCGGACTCGCTCGAAGTGGAGTCGGACGGCGCGCCGCGCTTCTGGGCCGAGCCGCTGGTGTCTGGCCTTAGGATGCCGTGGTAGTCGGCCGTCTGATCGGCCAGGCGCGGTGGGGCTGCAGGGACTCCCGCGCCCAGCAGCGTCCCGCGACCTCCACGACCCTTGACCAGGCCGCGGCTCCGGCCCGCTGCGACCGCCGCGCGGCTGCGGGTCAGCGTCCGCTCGCGCCGCTTCGACGCGGCGGGTGCTCTCGGCGTCGGCCAGTCCGCCGCGGCTCGCGCCAGCGTCCGAACTCTTCGAGGCCGACCCGAGTCGCCCATGAGCAGCGGACGAAGAAGGATCTGGGAAACAATCAGAAAGACGTATGCAGCGCTTTTCATGGATGCTAGACGCTTCTTGAGCCAAAGCGCCTGCCGACGGGTGACAGGGCGGATGCACTTGCTTCCGACCAGACTCAAACTGAGGTAAGAGATCGGCAAGCCTCAAGACTCTGGAACGCTCGGGGGCTCGACCATGAGGCCAAAGACATTCATATAGCTTCAAAGGACGTCGATGGGGTGCGATATGAGGTCTGTGGTCTCGCTCCTTTTCCCCCTCCATGTCACTTGTTAAACTTCGTGCTCTCAAAAAACTACGCTGATGACCCCCCTTGCTCGACACGGGGGGCGCAGGAAAAGAAACCTCACCAGGACTCTCACGAGGTCCTTTCGCGGTCCCCTGGGACGGCGGGTGTGAGAAAAGCCGAGAGGGCCAGTCCGCGGGGTTTCGCTCCGAGGGGATCCATCTTACCGTGAGACGGACGTTCCTGGCGAGGCAAAGACACGCAAGCTTCCTAAGGATCAACAAAAGCTTGTAGTTTCTGGTGCGGTATCTGTCACAACAAAGTACAAGCGCGAGATTATCACAGAACAGGAGCTGTCTGAGATTGCGACCAGGGCGAGAGAGAAGGATGCGCTCGGCGCCAATGAGCAAGGCGCGGGCTTCGAGCAGCAGAATGTTTTCCTCAAAGGCAAAAGGCCACCCTCCGCACACGTACCAAGCATCCTCGGCCAGATCGGAGGCCGATATCTCCTCGAACTCGCCAGAGGCCTCGAGTCCCTGGGCCCCCACGGCACCAAGGGCCTCGAGACTATCACGGTGCAACAGCGGGCACGAGCCAAGCAAAGCGGCGTCACGGGCACGGACGTGCCCAGGATGTCTGAAACGCTCACGCTCACGCACTCGGCCATAGCGGGAGGTAGTGCTGGACCCCAGCGCGCGTAGGCACACGCCGAAGCCCTCCTCGCAGGCGTCCGTGGCGCAAGCAATGCCGTTCCAGTCCAACTCCCACGACGCCACCAGCATGATCATAAGGCCCAGGAAGCACTTCAGCTCCTGCCGAACGCTCGCCCAGAGCTCCACGGGCACATGGTAGTTGCTCTGTATGAAGCTGTAGACGGCGCTGAAGCACGTGAGTGTCTCCCGGCGTATCAGTCCCGCGAAGGTGCAGTGGCCGACCACGATCTCCACGGCCCGACCACTCACGAGCCTACGGCGAAGCAGACCGCGTATCCCTTGCCGAAGCCGCCAGAAACGCTTACAGCTAAGGCGGGTGTGGCGGCGGTTGGCGTCCAGCACCACCCCCAGGGCTTCGATCTCCCCCTCCGTGATCTCCAGCTCGTGAGTCTTGAGCCCGCGGGACTCGAAGCTGCTCACCAGGCGCTCCATGGTCTCCTCGACTATCTTTCGCCCACCACCGAACACGCCCACGTTGTCCACGTACACGTAGTGCCGAATCTGAGCCCCCCCTCGGAGGCAGCGAAGCAGCAAAGGGCGCCCGTGATCCACCAAGAGCTCACACCTGTCGATCACCGCGGCGGTGGCCTCCTCGTCGATGTCCTGGGCGAAGAAGAGCGACCAGGTGAAGCCCATGGGCAGCGCGGTCGCCAGCGGCACCACCTCTGAGCCAGGCTCCACCTCGACACCCTGCACGCGATGTATCCCGATCTCCGATGCCAGCACCGACGGAAGCCCAAAGTACTCGCACAGGTGGTCGGGCATCTTCATGCGGTGGAAGGCGTCGGACACGTCCGCGGTCCCGACAGCCAGCTGTGACGCCCCCTCCAGGTCCCCCTCGACCTCGATGTTACCGAGGCCCTCAGCAGTCAGGAGGCTCACGTGAGGGGGGGGTCGGAAATGTGCGTTCGTCCTGCGGGCATCCAGTATCATCCTGAGCTGCCCCGACTTCTTCTTCACGAAAAACAGCCCGACCTTCTCGCGACAGCACGACGAGAACTTCACAAGCCCCCTGCTGTGCAGATCCTTCAAAAAGCGAACATATCTCCTCCGATTCCGCGTCAGGGCGGGATCAACGTAGTAAGGAATTTCATGCAACTGAGCCTCAGTTAATTGTTCATCGGCAGCCAGGCGCATTCGCTCTCCCTCCCCCTCCAGAAAGTACCGACCTCGGGCGCCGACGAGCTCCTCGATCATCTTGCAATCGTTCGTGTCCGAGGGCAGCGACACCAGGTCATGCCTGAAAGGGGCCAGAGCCGTTGAGGAGGGGTCGGCGTCGGTGTAACCGCCGCCCCTCCCTCGGAGCAGCTCCATCAAAGCCGCCTCCGTGGTGAGATGCCGAGCCTTCTCGCTACTGGGCTGCTGGAGCTGGGCCAGCCCCTCCAAGTAACGTCTCGTAGAGTCCGCCATCTCCGACGCCAGGCCGAAAGTCGACTCGATGTCGCCCTCCGTGTCGTTGATGCGGTGCCCGCTCATCCAATTAAGTGCATCGGTAGCCTCTGCCACCAGCGTGGGTAGGACCTCACGCGCGCGATCCTTCCGCCGTTGCTTCTTGGACCGCCCGACCCTACAAACTGGGTCGACATGCAAGGGTGGAAGCGGAAAGAGCCGCCGCCTCCCTGGGGCCGCCTGGCACGGCCCGTCCCCGACACTCAGCAGGCCGCGACGTGGGGACTTCTCGTCGCGGCCCGTCTCCATCATCATGGCTTCTCCGCGGGCACACCACGCCCTCCACGTGCTGTCCCGCGTCCTTCTGCGCGCCCACGGCCTCGACCGCGACCGCGGCCGCCGACGGCGTCCCCTCCTATCTGGTCCTCTACCTCCTCGGGTATGACGCCGCCGCTCAAGGCCTTGGTCCTGGTCACGTAGTTGTCGTGCTCGTCCTTGTAGCGGCGGATCCCCCACGAGCGAAGCCCAGGGTCCACCGCCTCGAGGCCTGACCCCACGCCCTCGTACACGTTCGCAAGCTTCCAGTTGGGCGCGGCCTGGCCACTGTAGGCATCGATGATCGCGACCACTCGGCGCCCGAGGCGCTCGGCCCCCGCCAGCGAAGGCAGGTTCACCTGGTCGTGGGTCGCGAAAAGGTGCAGCGCCTTCACGAGAGCCTGGAGCTCGTGCGTCACCCTGTCCGTCTTCCCGATGTTGTTGTCCCTCAGGAAATCCACCAACCACTTCTCCAGATCCCCGTGGCGACGCTCGGCGTGCAGCAGAAGGTGTGAGAGACAGCACGGCCCGTCGATGTCGTGGCAGTCCAGCGGCTCCTGCGTCATCTCGGCGGTGAACTTCCTGAAGCTCTTATACCGCCGTCCCTGCTCATCGTAGTCCACCCAGAGCGTGCGTCCGTCGTCTTCGTCGCCACTGGGCTCGCCGACCTGAGCCCTCTCGTCCTTCTCCCGCAGCTCTCCTACGCCCTTCGGGTCCTTGGTCCCCGTGCCTGGCGGGTTGGGAGGCGCCGACCGATCGCCGACCGAGACGCTCCCAGGGCCCAGGCGCTCCGACTCCTTCTGGGCAGCCGCCAGCCCGCGCTTCTTGAAGGCCTCGATCTCAGAGGGTCTCATCAAAATCACCTTCAAGAAATCGTCCTTCACGTGGGCGAAACCGACGCCCTCGCTGTGGGTGATGTCCCCCTGCCGCAGCTCGATTGTGTCCCCGTAGCGGTAGTCGTCGTTCCCCATCTCGGCGATCACCCAGCTCTGACCCTCGGGCGGCGCCATCGGCGGGGTTCGAGTCCCGTCCACAGCGACGACCGCCACGTCCTCGGAAGGCACGCCATGGGCGGACGCTCGCAGAGGCAGGCGTCGGGTGGGCACGATCACACCTTCGGCCGACAGCATCCGCGGCACGGCGGGCGGCGCGAATCCCAGCTCCTCGTAGGTCGCCAGGCTCGACGATAGCTCCCGCCGTATGGCCTGTGTGGACGGGTAGTCCTCGGGGTCGAACTTGTAGAAGTGCCCGCGCAGGGGTCGAGGCACCTCAGCGCCGTCGTTCATAAGCACGAACTGCTCGACATCCATGTTCCCCTCGCTGTACTGCTCCTCATAGATCATGAGATCGGGCGTCATGCTGCGCCAGATCGTGCTCTGTCCTGCGCCGCTGGCACCGACGGGCCCAAGCAGAACCCGCTCGTGATACAGGTCCTCGCCCGCCTCCGCGTACTTCAGCCCGACCGACCGCCCTGGGATCAGCTCACGCGCGAACTCCGCGGCCGAGAAGGGCCGGCCGCGCTGGTCCAGGAACCGCCCCACGGGCAGCCTCGCCATCGCCTCGACGCAGCAGGCGCCCGCCCAGCTGCCCGATGAGCGCCGACGCCAGGTGCCCCGCGATCACGCCCGCCCAAGTGGGCCCCGACTCCGCCTCCGCGGGGCAGGGCTCGCACGGGGCGCAGGGGCCCCCGGCCGCCAGCGGCGGCGGGCACTCGGCCACCGCCTGAGCGCTCGCCGAGAGGTTCTCGGCGGCGTCCTGCAGGCGCTCAAGCACCTGCGCGCGGCCGAGCTGCTCGCCGACCTCGCGGCTCCGCTGCTCCAGCGTCGCGAGCAGCCACAGCGCCACCAGGGCGGCGCGCATCGCAAGCCTATGATGAAGAAAAAGCGAGGCTTGAGCACAAACGGTTGCGCGTACAGCGCTGCAAGAGAACTGGCAAGCTGAGACGGTATCCGTTTAGGTGGACATGGAGGGGTAATCAGGGCCCGACACTCGAAAAAACCTCAGCACGTCATTATCGTGCTACGCACACCCATTCCCGGCTCTCGCTCGGAATCAGAAGCGGCGCCTGGTCCTCAGCAAGGCGTGGATACGATCAACTCCGCGGGGCGCTGGGGTCCGACCGTGACCCTGCCCCGACGAGATCGCGTCCGCGGCGAGGCAAAGGGCGCGAGGCAGCTTAGCAGCGCGCGGCCCTCCTCCTTCCAGCTGAAGTGGACGATCTCGTCCTGCCGCGGCCAGCGCTCAAGCCCCTCTCTCTCCTCCGCTGGAGGGGTGTGGGGGGGGGAGCCTTGTAGCCGTGTCGCCCTTCTGGGGGACGAGGGGGGGTTGGGGAGAGGGAGGATGAGGGGAGACGGAGGGCAACGCCGAGGGAGGTGTAGGACGAGAGGGAGGGGGAGCGGGCGGGGCTGGGAATGATGGGCGAGGGGCGATGGGGAAGCAGGAGGATCAGTAGCAAGTTGTGGGCATCATCAAGAGAAGCCCACCGCCGCGGCTGGGCAGTGAGCGCCGCGCGTGAAACTGAGCGCAGCTTGTCTCTCTGGGGGATGTTGGCCTGACCAGGTCAACGCTTGCCAAGCACATCGTATGTATATTTTCACGACTTGCCACAAATTCGCTGCGCCGTCGCGCTTCGCCGTAGAATGCTGCGTGCTCGCCCCTGGCGGCCGCCAGACGTCTGGGTCGGGCGGCCACTGACGTCAGGAGGACGCAATCCTGACGTGGCAGAGTCAGGATGACGCCATCCTGACGCGGCCCTGACTCCTCGAGACGCGGCGAGGGGCCGCGACGCCGAGCCTTCCCCCGCCCCCCGCCCGCGAGCGAAGGGGAGCGACAGGATCAAGAACCAGGAGGGGCTCCGACAGGCGGCCAACAGGAGGGATGAAGCCAGGGAGCCCTCGAGCTGTGACTGCGCACTTGCTGTGCTGTGTTTTTTTCTCTGCTTTTGCGCAAGACTTGAGCCTCGGCGATTTGAGCCTCGGGGGCAAGCTCTTCTCAAGTGGACCCTGCCCTTGCAACCCGTGAAGCACGCCCAGCCCTTCCCCCCACCCCCTTCCCTTTTCGATTCCCCTCCCTCCCCGCCCCAAACCATTCTGTGGGATGGCTCAGCGGGGGCACGTCGGCCTGGAACAAGCGTTGCGTCGAGGAGGAGGAGGAGGAGGAGGAGGAGGAGGAGGAGGAGGAGGAGGAGGAGGAGGAGGAGGCCGATGGGTCGGCGAGACGTCTCCCCGAGCCCTGTCCCAGCCGCGGCGCCGAGCCTCGCACAGGAGGAGAAAGCGGGATGGATGGAAAGGCGGCAAGGATCTTGTAAGTAATACGACAATCCATAATCAACAGTGTTTCGCAATATTTCCGATTCAACTTGTCTGTAACATTCTCTCTGACTTGTGATCCTTGCAACGGCCGGTGAGCCGAGGATGGATGCCGGCCCCCCAGAATATGTGGCCGATCGTGGCCCCTCATCGTGGCCCGCCAAGCCCCCTATCTTTTGGCCCCGCACCATAAACTTCGTAAACCTGCTTAGGGCCTTCTGCCGCGAGGGCGTCACCTTCGAGGGCGGACGGGGCCCCCTGTGGCAAAACACCCCTTCGCGGCAGCGGCCCGCGGCCAGACCCTGCAGGTGCAGGCCCGAAAGGGGTGCGGCCGCAACGGCCTCTCAAGAGCCGAGGCGAGGCTGTTCGCCAATCGCCCTGGCAGGGTGGGGGTGCTAAACACGAAGGCGTCCTAGGGACTGAATCTGTTCCGATGGCTCCGAGAGCTCTCTCAGAAGAAGGAGGCCCTGCCCCCGCCCGAGGGGGCGAGGGCGAGCGACAGAAGAGCAGGCGCGAGGACGTGCTCCCAGCTCGGGCTTTGCCAGAGGCGTCCCTGCCCCAAGGTGCCCCCCCCCCCCCCCCTGGATTTCACAAGCTTGCCGTCGCTCGGACGTCCATTTCCCGTGCATTTTTCGGTTTCGTGCGTGTGTTGTTTTTGCTCGATGGTCCAGGATGGTCCTCGATGGTTCTCGCCGAGAAAAAATGCACACGTCCGAACGATGCCAAGCCCCTGGATGTCGCAAGGAGCCCCCCACGGCCTCTGAAACACACCCCACGAGGCCCAGCCCAGCGGGCCCCCATAGGGGGCTCCCAGCAGCGGAGCGCCAGGCCATGGACACCCCGGGCCAGGGACACCCTCGGCACACCCCGATCAGGGGCAGGGGGAACACACCATGACATAAACATGGAATCTCGGATCGTCCTGGTCCTCCTCCTCCTCCTCCTCCTGCTCCTCGATCCTCCTCCTCCTCCTCCTCGATTCTCCTCGATTCTCCTCGATCCTCCTCGATCATCCACTGCATCCACCTGTCCTGTCGACGCGGGAGGTCCGTCCTGTCGACGCGGGAGGTCCGCGCGGGCTTCTCGGATCGGCGCCGAACTCCCTCCCTGGCGCAGGGAGCGCGCCAGGGGCGGCGCCGGAGGCGCCGCCAGGGGGCCCCATCGCCGATCCGATGAGGCTGCGCGGACTTCCGAGTTTTCATGTTTACGTCATTGCTTGTTTCCCTAAGTTGGCGGCGCGCACACGGGGGTGGAGGGAGGGGGGCGGACTTCTGAGTAGGAGGCCGCTTCTTGGAAGGCACATGCCTTACATCTGTAGATAAGGCCCGCGACATCTTAGAAGCAGGGTTGCTTCTAAGACGCTCTCCCCCCTCCCCCCACCCACCTCTGCGCGTGGCTGACTATTGGCTGCGAGATCCGCGAGAAATGGCGGCCCTTCTCAGAAGGCTCGGAAGTCTTCTGGTCTCCTGAGAAGCTTACTACCTTCTGAGAAGTCCCCCCGCCTTCTGAGAAGGCCTTCTCCTTTTCGTCTCGCCACCGCTCAGACGTCCATTCCCCGTGCCTTTGTCGGCTTCACGCGTGCTTTTGCTTGCAAGAGGCTCCAGGATGCTCCTTGATGGTCCTCGCCGAGCAAAGAGCGCGCACGGCCGAGCGATGCCAGGCCCCTTCCCCAGCGAGGCTCGCTCGCCGCCCTATACCGAACCCGCCCCGATCAGCGGCAAGGGGGGAGGAGGAGGAGGAGGAGGAGGAGGAGGAGGAGGACGAGGAGGAAGGAGGAGGAGGAGGAGGAGGAGGAGGAGGAGGGAGGAGGAGGAGGAGGAGGAGGAGAGGAGGAGGAGGAGGAGGAGGCGGTGGAGGAGGAGAGGAGGAGGAGGAGGAGGAGGAGGAGGGGGAGGAGGAGGAGGAGGAGGAGGAGGAGAGAGGAGGAGGACGAGGAGGAGGAGGAGGAGGAGGAGGAGGAGGAGGAGGAGGAGGAGGAGGAGGAGGAGGAGGAGAAGGAAGAGGAAGACGACGACGAGGAGGAGGGGCCCGCAACCGGAGCGGGCGGTCGTCATCGCTGCCGCTCTCGGACGACTCGGACTCGTCGGACACCCGCGCGGACCTCTGGCCGTCGCCCCCCGGGCGCCCCGGGCGCACCCGCGCGGCCGAGGGCCCCCCCTTTTGTGCGGAGCGGTGCCGCCGCTGGTGCTGCCGCCCCCCGGCCTGCCGGGCTCCCCTTCGAGGAGACGTAAGACTCGGGTACGGGGGACTCGGGTTGGCCCGACGGGACCAACATAAAAATGACGAAGCCCGATCTGAAATTTGACGCGAGCTCCCGCTGCAGACATCCCACGAAAACTGGACCGTCAAAATCCAGGACGCGCTCGCAAAAAAACATCGGCAAACCCGAATTCCGGCTTACTCGGGTCTTGCGTTCCCCCGACCCCTGTGCGGCTGCGGCGGGTTCGTGTCGTGCTGAACCCCGGCGCTGCTTCCCGGCACCGCGGGGGCCGCTGCCTTTGTTCCACGTCGCTCGCGTCGAAGTGTGCTCGTCTCTAAGGGTGCTCGGTTCTACTTGGTCCTGGCCCCCTCGTGGCCAGGAGGAGGCCAAGGATAGAACACTTGGAAAGGAAAGGGTCTTGGCCCCCCAAAAATAACTTCCTGCTAATCAAAACAATGAGCAAACTGTAGCCATCCCAGAGGCCTCTGCCTCATGCGCTTGGGCACGCTCCTGCTTGAAGTGGGTGGCCTGGCGACGCGGAGTAACACCCTGGCCCCGCGGAGACCGTTCAACCTTGAACGATCGGCCGCTGCCGAAGCGTCGGGTCCTTCTACGTCGGCCGTAAGAGTGACCCCATCGGCGCCGCGGCTGGGGAGGAAGTGGGAAGGGGCGGGCCTCCGCGGAAGGCTCAGAAGGCCTCGGGCCTGCCGAGGAGTTTCCTGCGCCTTCCCCCAGAGACACAGAAGACTTCTCATCCGGCGCGAGGGCTTCTGGGAAGCCCCGCCGCCTTCTGAGAAGACACGCCGCCGACCCAAGGCAAGAGTGACCTTTGGTGCCCGGCTGCAGGGGTGCCGCGGCGGAGAAGCCACATGCAAGCGCGCAGGTTTGTTTTGCTCTCCAGAAAACACCTGATGATGAAAATCGCCAGCTTCTTAACTGATAGGACGATGACTCGATCAAGCAAGCCTATAGAGAAGGTGGTCGGGACCCCTGTCCCGAGCAGTGCAAAATGGTGGCCAAACCCACCCGTTCGTGCGACGACGACGAGGCCCAAACAGCACGAAGGCAGAGAGACAGTAGCTATTTCGGGAACATCACCCTGGACTAGGAGGCGGCAGTGAAACCAGAAACTTGAACAACATATCTGCTGGCACTGCGCGACGTACAAGCGCCCAGGGTAGTGCATGAGGAAACCCTGTGGGCAGCACCAAAAGTCACTCCAGCGAAAAAATCACTCTTACGCAATGCCGAACTGCGCTGCTGATTGTGCCGCCGTTGGTGCCCCTGGTGGCGGCGCTTACGGTCGAAATCCCACTTCCCATGCTTTCCCATATTTTCGGGGGAATCGACGGTTCATTGTGTCTGTGTGTTCTTTCCCCTCCTGAGAATGGGCCGAGGAGCCAGGGCTGCAAAGAAAGGGTGCCCCTGGCGGAAAGACCGCGCCCTTGCCCGTGGACCTTTGCCTGCACGCGCCGCGCTGCCGGTGGGCGGTGCTGCGGCCGCTGTAGCCGGCGGGCGCTTGCCACGCACACACGTGTGCGTCCTCATTGTCGTCGGGGCCTCCTCCTCCTCCTCCTCCTCCTCCTCCTGATCCTCCTCCTCCTCCTGATCCTCCTCCTCCTTCTTCTTCCTCCTCCTTCTTCTTCTTCTTCTTCTTCTTCTTCCTCCTCCTCCTCCTCCTCCTCCTCCTCTCCTCCTCCTCCTCCTCCTCCTCCTCCTCCTCCTCCTCCTCCTCCTCCTCCTCCTCCTCCTCCTCCTCACTCCTCCTCCTCCTCCTCCTCCTCCCTCCTCCTCCTCCTCCTCCTCCTCCTCCTCCTCTCCTCCTCCTCCCTCCTCCTCCTCCTCCTCTCCTCCTCCCTCCTCCTCCTCTCCTCCTCCTCCTCCTCCTCCTCCTCCTCCCCCCCCTCCTCCTCCCGTGATCTGCCCTGGAAAAGCCCGCACAAAGGTGCGCGGGGCACTCCGCGGCACAGCCCCGCGAGACAGCCGCCGCGCAGCCACGGCGAGCCTCCGCGAGGTGGGAGGCCTCTCTCGTCCGACCCGGCCCGGCTTGTGTGCGGCTGGCACGCCCTCGCCCTCGCGCAGCTTCGGCTCGCCCGCACGCGCCAGACGATGGAAGCTGAAGCTGAGGTCCTGGTCGGGGCCACGTCGGTCCTTGCCCACCCTGCCTCCTGCCTCCTGCTTCCTGCCTGCTGTCATCTCTTCCTCCTCCTCCTCCTCCTCCTCCTCCTCCTCCTCCTCCCTTCTCTCCTTCCTCCTGCTTGCGCCGCCTGGCCACTTTCGTGCGGGGCTCTCCCTGTCGCCATTTTCGTGAGCTCCTGGGAGGTCCAGCGGAGTCGGTAGTCACGCCCCTGACCTCGGGTACAACGCACATCCAGCGGGACACGTGATGCGACGAGCGCACAGGAGAACTGCAAGTGGCACGTGCGACGAACGTAACGAGACAGAGCGCACGCGATGAACCGAACACGCGGACAAGACGGGCTTCGACAACAGGCGCAGCACTTCCCAGGCGGAGACCCCTCGAATCAAACTGTGCTTGTGCAATGCCCCTTTCGGCTACACGCAAGAGGAGTGGCCCTGGGTACGGTAAGAGTGGCCTTTGGTGCGCGGCTTCTGGGGGCCGTGGGGGGGCCAAACACGAGCGCGCAAGACGCCACTGCCGTCTCGCGTTCGGCGATCGGGGACCCCAATGGGCCCGCACCAAAGGTCACTCCGGCGAAAGGTCACTCTTACGCCTAGTCGACCCTTCACGCCGCCGTGAGAGAAAGCAGTCCCGCTCGGAATGAGGAGCCATCTCCTCCTCTTCGGCCCATGGCCTGCCGCCGCGCAGGGCCCGGCACTTCTGCACAGCGTGCCGCGGCGGCGGGCCCCGGCGCCAGAGCCTCCCGGGCGGGCAGCGCGTCGCTCCGCCCCGCGGGGCGGGAGGTCCCTGGGCAGGGCTCGGGGCGTCGACGCCGGGGACGTGGGGACGCTGGCCATCGCTCGGACTTCCATCCCCTGTGCTTCTGTCGGTCTCGTGCGTGGTGTTTTCTCTTCGCAGGGTGATCCAGGATATGCTCCTCAGTCATCCCCGCCGAGAGAAAAAAAGTGCACACGTACCAGCGATAGCAAGGGACGTGGACGGCGTGCCGCGCGCCGACGCGTGGTGGCCCAGAGCTGGCTCGAGCGACGCGCGGAGCCAGCGTTCCCGACCGTGCCTCTCGATCGAGCCCACCGACGGCGCGGGGGGCGCGGCGAGGCGGAGCGCTGCGGCAGGGCGCACCGCGCTCCGGCGGGCCGGCGCGCCAGCCTGGGCTCTCGGCTGCCATCGTGCGAGGCGGGGGCTTCTCCGGATGCACCGCCGGAGAGCCGACGGCCATCGACTAGACGTAAGAGTGACCTTTCGCCGGAGTGACCCTTGCTGCGGGCCAAATGGGGTCCCCCGAGCGCCGAACGCGGTGCGGTGGTGGCGTCTTGCGCGCTCGTGCTCGGTGCCCCCGCGGCCCCCCCGAAGCCGCGCAGCAAAGGCCACTCTTACTACCCAGGGTCCCTCTTGCGTGCAGCCGAGCCCTGGGGATCCAGCGGGCGGTGGATCCGCACATACTTTGGCTCCCGGGGGCCCGAACGCATCCACATCCACCGCCCGTGGGGGCCCGAGACCATCGATCCTCCAGGCGGTGGTCGTGCATACAGTGACAGGAAGGACGCGAGGTGAGGACGCCAGACCCTTGGACGCCCATGCCGACGCCTCTGGAGCGAGGCTGGCCATCGAACGTGGCTGAGCATGGACCGAAGACGTGACCGAAAGGCAGGGATGCCAGGGTACCATCGGGACGCCGATCCTCCTTGCCGTCAGTTATAGCTGTATCGGGGGCGCGCAAACATGGACTAGCGAACCGTGGATTTGGCGCGCGGTCGCCAAATCCATGGATCGGGGGAGGTGCCCTCTCCAAAATGCGACCGGCACCGCCTCGTTCGGCGGCGGAAAAGTCCACGAATTTCCATGGAAGCGGGGCCCGTCGCGAATCCACGCCCCCCTGATCCGTGTTTGCGATCGCCTGCCTGTGGATACCCACCTCCGACATCTTCAGAGATCCGATGTCGTGATTTTTTTACTGCGCGGTCCCCGGAAGTCTCGACCCCTTCCCCAGGACCGCTTTCTCATCCCGAGCCGTTCCCTGACGGTCCCGGAGCCCGGCGAGGGCCCCCAGAGGCCGAAAGCTGCCCAAAAAACCTCTCCTGATCTTTTCCATCTTGGTCGAAGACTGCTAAAAACCTCTCTCTTGAGGTTTGCAGCACGTTGGATCTCTGGGTCGGTGCTCTGCCCTTAAGTCGGGCCTGTCCCCCTACAGGGGGACTTTCGACGACAAATAAAACATACACCAGACATAACCAAAAGATAGTCCAAACATATTCTTTTTTTTGTAATATATATATATATATATATATATATATGTATATATATATATATATATATCTTTTTGGGGCATTTTTGGGATATTTTTCTATTTTTCGTCGAAAATCCTCCTGTATGGGGGACACGCCCGACATAACTCTGCCCCCGCAGGCCCGCGACCCACGGAGCCCCGGGCCCCCCCCCGGGGCGCCGCGCGGGGCGGGCGGGCGGGGGGCGGAGAGCGGCGCCTCGACCTCGAGCCGCCGCCGCCGCGGCGCCGCGCGTCCTCCTGGGCGGGCGAGGGGCGCCGCGGGGCGCGGCCCGAGCGGCCCCCACGCAGGCCGCCGCCTCGCCGCGCCCTCGCTCCAAGCCGCACGTGTGCGCCCTCGCCCTCGCCCTCGCCCTCGCCCTCGCCCTCGCCCTCGCCGCGCCCTCGCCTCCGGGACGTGCCCCTCGCCTCGCCCCTAAGACGTGCACGCATGCGGCCGTAGGGGAGCCCGAAAGGCGCGGGCAGGGTCCTCCCGGGCGGGCGGAGGGCGTCTCGGGCGCGGCCCAACCGACCCCTGGCAGACCCGGTCCCCCTTCCGTGACGTCACCCTCGCCTGTCAAGCTGCCCCCTACGGCAGGCAGCATAGATACACGTCTTGGGGCGAGGCGAGGCGCACGTCACGGAGGGGGACAGTGTTTGCCAGGGGTCGGTCAGGCCGCCCCTGCGCGTCGTGCTGCTGCCGCTGCCCTTTCTTAATAGACCAAGCCAGGGCGAAGCGAAGATCGGACGAGAAAAAGTTGAGAATCTCTGAGATCCGGCATCTCTGGAGGATGTCTCGGGCGCCTCCTCCTCCTCCTCATCATCCTCCTCCTTCTCCTCCTTCTCATCCTTCTCCTCCTTATCCTCCTCCTTCTCCTCCTCCTTTTCCTCCTCCTCCTCGGATAAAAAGAAAATCTCTTAGATCCAGCGTCTCTGGAGGATGTCTCGGGCGCCGCGGCCTTCTCAGAGAGTTCCCGAACGTTCTGAGAGCGATCCAGAACGCTGTGGAACAGATTCATCCCCGTCCTAGACCAGTCTGTTGATTTTTTTCGTTAGGCAAAAGGTCAGCGACTGGGCTGCTGTCCTCCTGTGGTGATAAAACATGAGCCCCGACTCTGTCGCTGCGCCTCCTCGTTCTCCAGTCTGCCAGAACAGGAGGGGCGGAGGAGGCTGGCGACGATGACGACAGCGACAAGCAGCAACTTGAGGAAGAGGGAGGATGAGAAGGGGGACGGCGAAGAGGGGGAGGAGGAGCAGGAGGAGTCACAGGATCGGAGGAGGGAGATAATCAGAGGAGTGCGAATGCGAGCCTGCATAGCTCCATAGCCTTATGTTGTTCCCATCGTGCTTAGGGGCCACATTCCATACATAATTTCGAGCACGCAGGAAAGTATCGAAACAGTGTCTGCCAGACACGCTGCCGAAGTGCCCAACGGGTATCGCCTCCCAGGCCCGACACGTAAATGCCCTCCTATTTCGGTACCGCCTTGGTGCTCAACTCTATATCGAGGCTACAGTAGGTTGGAACGTAATAACCATAGACGGCTTCGCAGCGTTGGGGAACCCTCGGGACACCCTTCAATATACACTTCCGAGGAGCGCTCTCCTCTCCTTCTTCCTGCCTGCCTCGGTGCCCAGGAGGAGGGTCATCCCCCTCCTCCTCCTGAGGCCCTGAGTGTCCCCACAGGACCCCTGACGCCCCACGCTGTCTACGTCGAGGCCGATCTGGTGGGGCGCAGCCACCACGGCCTGGGAGGTGAGAACCACGAGCGGGGTGGACCAAGGCTGCCCCTCTCCCCAAGCTACTTCGCCTTATCCTCAGGTCGGGCATGCCCCCCTACAGGCGGCTTTTGGACGAAAAGTGAAAAAAGACTCGAACAATACCCGAAAATGCTCAAAACATAGTTCAGACATCGTCACCTGGCAATTTTGCGACTATTTTTGAACTTCCCCCCTTTAGGAGGCACAGGCCCGACTGAACCTTAGCCCTCGCGGGGCCATTGGTGCCATCGACGCCCGGTCGCGCCAGCTGGCGCCGACGGCCCGCGTGCTGTCGTGCCTCGGCGACGTGGTGGCTGTCGTTGCCCGCCTCGGTCGCCGAGCAGGGCCTCGGCGCGCTGGCGGAGGGCCTTGCTGAATGGGGCGCAGGGACGCACGAATAAATAGAGACAGACAACAGGATTCCCCGTTATTTTCCCACATTCTCAGGGTTTTCGTCTTCCCCCCCTCGCCTCCCATATGTTCCCATACCTTCCTGGGAGTCGACGATTCACTGTGTCTGTGTGTCTCTTTCCCTCGTGACTCACAGCAGCTGGGACGCGCTCAACGAAAGCAAGACGGCCGCCTGGACCGCAGCCCCGACAATGAAACTCCCGACGCGGTTTGTCCCCTTCCGGAAGTAGACCTTGCGCTGTCCGAGCGCCGCTGCCCCTTGGAAAGACCGCGAGGACCCGCTCGCGCGCATCGTTGTGCGCGGTCAGTGACGGCCACGAGGCCGTCCAGGCAGCTGACCGCCTTGTGGTGAGACTCCGCGACCTTCGTTCGGCTGGCCTGGGCTCGCGATACAGCTTCCTCTTGCTGCAGACCTATTGCAACGGGTGTGCCACAAATCTCTCGAGGGCCGACTACGAAGATGGCGGCTGGACCACCAGAATGGACGAAGCCATCTTCGAAGGCGTAGAGGATTTACTCGGGTGCCCGCTGCGCGCTGACCGAAAAACGCATTGCTGTCTACGACTCACGCGTGGAGGACTCGGGGTGACCTCGGCGGCGGAGGCAGCTGCGGCAGCCTGCCCGGGAAGCTGGGCCCCGACCTGGAAGAGCGAAGAGCGTGCGAACTTGCTTGGGCGTGGCCTCTCGGCAGAGCTGCACGGCACGGTGCCCTGCGGTGGCCGGCGCCACTGGGCGCGCAGAGGCAAGGCACTGCGAGCTCAGGGACACGGCGCCATCGACGCGGCGGACTGGTTCGGCGTGGCTGCTGCGGCAGCGGTCCCGCGGCGACCTGCTCCGGGCGCTGGGGGAGGACGACCGCCTCCTCCTCCTCCTCCTCCTCCTCCTCCTCCTCCTCCTCCTCCTCCTCTTCCTCCTCTTCCTCCTCCTCCTCCTCGTCTTCCCCCCCTCCTCCTCCACCTCCTCCTCCTCCTCCTCCTCCTCCTCCTCGTCCTCGTCCTCCTCCTCCTCCTCCTCTCGACTTGTGCTCTGCTGGGGGGGCCCGGCGCGGGAGGGTGGCTCGAAGCCCCCGTCGTCAGGGAAGGGGAGGCTCCGGCGAAGGTCCCCAATGGCGACTTCCGGATGTCCTCGCAGACCGCCTGCGCTGCGACCTCTGCGCCCCCGAAGCGGAGTGCCACCTCCGCAAGCAGGATGGCACGGTGCGGCGCGCCGTGGGACAGAGGGGGGAGACACGCGCTGGAATGCCCGTGCGGGCCCCTCTCAGAACTGGGAAGCACGACGCGATGCACGACACTTCTGCGCGGCCTAGCACCAGAAGGTCACGGGATCCGCGGCAACCAAACAACCGCTGGTTCTGGCCTGGAACCGCAACAACCCCAGAACTGGGGTACAGTCGAGGCGTTGACCTAAGGAACCCTAAATAAGGAACGAGGCCCCTTTTTCACATAAGTTCAACCTCGATTCCCCACGGAAGACCTCAGGAAAACCCGAGGCAAACTTTGCAACAATCAAGGAACACCGAGCCCCTCCCCAACAAAAAGGGTTCCTTCTTCAGCGCCCCCGACTGTACTGGAAGAGGCCAAAGTGGACGTCGCCACGCGCGACGCGGTCACGGGCAGCGTGGCCTACCTTGACACGAGCATCGCCTGCGCTCGCAGCGTCGACCAGTCTCGCCAGCGGGCGCCCTCGGGCCCGGGGCGGCCTGGCAGCCCGGAGCCGCGAGGAAGACGAGCGCCAGAGGTAATGCGGGATGACGATTAATAAAAAATGGGAGAGAACGATTAAAACAATAGTTTTCTTCTATTTCTGCATAATTTTCTGACTGGAGGAGAACGATTCAACAAAAATAGTTTTCCAGCCTGCGGCTGGTTTTTTCTAATCGTCATCCCGGGCGCCGCCGCGTGAACACGACCCCCGGTCATTTATGAATCGTCATCCTCCATTACCCATCTCAGGGCGATGACCTCGTCCCGGCCGTCTTCGAGACGGGCGGTCGGGGGCGGCCCGCACCGAGGCGCTGCGGCCCGGCAGCAGCTGAGCTGCCTCCTCCAGGTGGGCGACGCCGAGCCGCTGCTGGCGGCCACCGGCACCTGATGCCTCGCCGGCGGATGGTTACGGTTGCGGCGCCCGCGCAGCAACGCCGGCGCAGCGAGCACCATGGCGGCCACGAGACCACCACAGCAGCACCACCTGCAGCACCACGACTGCACCGCCACCCACCACGGCGAGCTCGACGAAGGCAGTAACTGTACCTCTCCGTTCACGGCCACCGACCGACGGCGACGACCACCGACGCCCCCGACGGCGCCCACAGACCCCCGTCTCCTCGCCGCCCTCCCGCCCCTCCCCTCCTCCCTTGCCCCTCCCCGGCCAGCCGCCCTCGTCTGCCGGTAGCGCCTCCCAGAGAGGGGGCTTCTCCTCGTCCTGTTTGTACTGCCTGCTGCTTTCGCCTTCTCACTTTCTTAATTCATTCATTAATTTCAGCAGCCCTTTCGTGCGTGAGTGGTTTAGCGGGTTTCCTCTTCCAGCCTCCTTCTTCCCATTCGGGGAGGCGTGACCTGGAAAAGGGGGTTTCGCGGGTCGCTTGAGCGTCCCAAACTTCCTTAGGGAGAAGGCGAGCAATATTGATTTACTAAGGTGTAGGCCACATGGGGGCCTCCTGGCGGGGGGGTGTTAATTTCCTCCGCTCCATCATTGGATCGATCTCCTTCAAGATGGCCCCAAGATGGCCCGAGACCAAAAAGATGCCCCCAAGATGCCTCCAAGAGACCCCTAAGAGGCTCCCCAGAGACCCCCAAGACGCCCGAAGAGACTCCCCCGAGGCACCCAGAAAACGCTTCGAGGGGACCCTGGGACCGCCACGAGGCCGCCAAGAGGACCCAAGATGCCTACAAGAGACTCTCGAGAGGCATCCGAAGAAACTCCGAGAAGCATCCACGAGGCGTCCAGCCGTTCTCCTCCACCTCCCCCTCCTCTTCCTCATCCGCCTCATCATCCTCTTCCCTCCTCCCTCCTCCCTCCTACCCCTCCCTCCTCTCCCTTCCCCCCTCCTCCCTCCTCCTCCCTCCTCCTCCTCCTCCTCCCTCCTCCTCCTCCTCCTCCTCCTCCTCCTCCTCCTCCTCCTCCTCCGCCTCCTCCGCCTCCTCCTCCTCCTCCTCCTCCTCCTCCTCCTCCTCCTCCTCCTCCTCTGGTTCCTCCTCCCTGATCCCCCTCTTGGGGTATGACG